GAGAATGAGCTTAACCAAGTGCAGAGAGATTCATTAGCAGAAGGCAGGCAAGAAGATGGTGATTTCAGCAACCCATGAAGTCCATCTACAAAGGCATAGTAGGATTTGTGATTTGCATTCATGGAAGATGCCTTTAAATCAGGGGAATCACAAAGTGTTAAAATACATACATAGAGTTCAAATCCAGCCTCAGACACTTCCTAGCTGTGTGACCCTGGGCAAGTCCTTAACCTCCATTGCCTAAAATAAATAAATGATTAAATGATTAAATAAATAAATAAAATACATACATACATATATACACACACCCATATATAATGTATATAATACATACATATAGAAAATGTATTATCCATGCATCTATATTACCTCTGTATAGACCAGTCATTAAAAATAGATATTGCACCATTTCTAAAGGACACCCTATAGTAGATGTCCATGAGTGCCAGGATCCCATGACCTCAGGGACAGGCACACCTGAAAGGGTAAGGAAGAGCTGAGAAGGTCAAGGACATGGTTGTCACTGATATTGTAACAATGCCCATTGCTGCCCAGACCTTTAGCGTTCTCCATGTTTAAGATGGCAAGCAGCTTGTAGTACAGTTCCATAGACAAGATTTTCCCAAGGGACACATGTAACACATGTTATATCAGGAAATACCATCCAGGTAACCAGAATCTTCAGAGCTATATCTGTCTGTGATGAAATGTCCTCACCCAGTTCTGCTGTCGTCCATCCTTCCATTATATAAGCTCCGCCGCGACAGTCTTAACCACCAACCCAGAGACCAGGGATATCCAGCCATTGGGCAGTGGAGAGTGGAGATAGATGGACGCCCTCAGCAGGAATCTTGCCAGAAGCTTCTGCCTTCCTGATCCACAAGTCAACGATTCTGACTCTCTCTTGTGGTGTATATATAGGGCCTCTCAAACTTTAAAATACCAGTTCTTGTTAATCTGAGGTCAGTGTCTTTATTGTTTCCCTTTTACAGCTAGGGCAACTGAGCCAGAGAGAGGTGAAATGACTCTCCCAGTGTCACACAAAAGAAAGTCGGTTTTTGTTAATGTTTCTCCAACTTATTCTATGTCCAGCTCACCCTGGCGGTCATTAGAAAGCATCTCTGAGCTTAGAGAAGCTGGACACCAGACAGTACGTGGCCCATTGGGCTCCTCCTCACCCTTCTAGTTTGCTAAGACCTGACAAAGTCCCTTCTGTGCTTTGAGATCCCTGGGAGTTGTCTTGAAGACACCAAGGCGTCCAAGGGCTCCATAGAGGAAACACTTAGTACTGCTGCCCAAGGAACCATTTGAGATGTGGGCTGAGAAAACTTCTATTTCTTATCCCAGGCCCATACATTTAGAATCACAGGATTTAGATCAATGGGTCCAATTTCCTTAGTTTACTACTCAGGAACGGAGGCCTAGAGAAGCCAGTGATTTGTCCAAGGAGCAAAAGGATCAAAAAAAAGATTTGGGGGCCTGGAGCAAGCAGCAGGGATTTGAACCCCTGTCTGATGGCAAATCCAGAGTCCCTGTAATGCTCTCCTTGGGTTAAGATGAGGACTCCTCTAACTATGACAGCCTGAGAGTCCTGACTCATAGGCAGAGCTGTAACAAAGGCAGTGTGACCAGGACTTTGTTTCCCAGGGCACTAAAGTTTAGAGGGTGCAAACACTGGGTGCTGGTCCTCCTTCTGCCCTGTAAGGCACCACAGCGACCGATCCCTCCCCTCCCCTCCAGCTGGATTTGTCTGAGTTGTTTCTGGTGTTATTTTCACACCACAGACGACAAAGATGATTTTAGAGCCTGTGTTACTTGCCCAGGAGTATCCAGGGCCCGAGCTGAGCCTGGAAGGGTCCTGGCGAGGCCGTTCCAGATGTTTCTGAGGGCTGGGTTCCAGCTGCCCCATTCCCTTGCTTTTTATCACTTAAACCCTGAAACCCTCATCATTTTACAGGCTCCGGAGGCTCCCTGGACGTTTAAAGCACCATCTGCTGGCTCCTTATCTCTGGGGACAGCTCAGTGCTTCTCAGAGAAGGTCTGCATGGGGGAGGGAGGGCAGGAGGCCCAGACTGTGCACCTGCTGCTGACAGCTTTCTTCAGCTTGGGCTGAAGAACCATTTTGTCTGGACCCGCTTGGCCTCTTGGAGACCCTCAGAATCTTGGCTTTGGGAGGGACTTCAAAGACTAATTGTCCAACCTGTACTGGAACAAGAATTCCTTACATCGGACCCAAAGGGGGGGGGGTCATCGAGCCTTTCCCAGAAGACATCTCCTGAAGAAGAACTCTATGAGCTCTGATCCCCCATACCTTTGATCTGGGGTGTTGTGGGGGGCAGAAGGGGACCTGAAGTAATCAGTCAATCAATTATTAAGCCCTACTATGTGCTAGGCACTGAGGATATGAAGGCAGAAATGAAGGAAGCCCTGCCCTTGGGGAGCTCTAGAAGCTGTGGCTTTGGACGCCATAATACCATTCCTGGTCAGACCCTGCTCCCCCCCGCCCTGTGACCAGGGAGCAGAGGCTCAGTCTACACTACAAGGCTCTTTGGGGATTCTAAGAGGCTGGAGTTTGGGGTCCCTGGGGCTACATGTTGGGCACGTGCTGCATTTCAGAGGCCAAAGGCCCCAAGCTCTGGGCACAGAACATGGGCCGAAGTTGGCTTCATACGAAGCAGCTGGGAATGGCCAGGGCTGGCCACAGGGTGGTGTTGGGAATTACTGTTGGGCCACTGGTATATCAGGCCACTCATTGTTTTTGTTCTTCATTTATCCGGAGAACCATGGAATCTTGGAGACAGAACAGAACTTAGAATATGGGATGTTGGACCACAGAACGTCCAAGATGGGAGGGACCTTAAAACACAGAACATCTGAGCTGGAGGGGCCTTAGAACACAGAACATTGTCTAAGGGAGGAACCTTACACCTTAGAATGTCCAGTCTTAGAGGAAGCTTAGAACACAGACTATCAGAGCCAGGAGGGGCCTTAGAACACAGAATGTCAGAGCTGGGAAGGACCTCAGAACACCGAACATTGTCTAAGGGAGGAACCTTAGAATGTCCAATCTGGAGGAAGCTTAGAACACAGAATATCAGAGCCGGGAGGGGCCTTAGAACACAGAATGTCTGAGACAAGAGGGATCTTAGAACATAGAATGTCCAAGCTGGGAAGGACCTTATAATAATGTTGGGCTAGAGCTGCTGGAAGGAGCCTTAGAATTTACAACGTGAGAACAAAAAACATAGAATGTTCACTCAAGAAAGAACTTTAAAGATCAAAAAGTCCAACCCTCAGGAAAGGAAACAGACCCAAAGGCAGCAGTTAAACTCTGAGTCCATAGTCCCCTTCAAGCTGGCGGGGTCCTCAGAGGCCAGCCAGTTCAACCCCCCACCACCACCACCATTTATAGATGACAAGCTTGAGGCCTGGAAGGGGCAAGTGACTTGCCAAAGGACACACAGGTGGCGAGTAGCCGAGGCGAGAGTCTAGCCCAGGTCCTGTGGCTTGAACACATATAAGATGGGTTTGGGGTGACAGGTTGAAAGCTTCCAGCCAGCCTCAAACTCAGTCAAAGTCATCAGTATGACAGAAATACCCTCAAAATAACTTGACCTTGAACTGCATGGAGAGGAATAGGGGGTCCCAAATGAAGGAAGTGATGGTCCCACCATCCCTTGTCCTGGTCAGACCACACCTGGAGGATTGTGCCCAGCTCTCAGCGCCATGTTGTAGAAAAGATAACGGCACATTGACATGTGCCCAGAGGCAGCAGCCAGGTTGTTGGAGTGGGGGGAGGGGCAGGGAACCAGAACCCCCACCAGCGGAAATACCTGGGCAAGTTGAGCCTGAAGAAAAGAAGACCGGGAGAACCTAATAGCTGCCAGCAAGTATTTGAAGAGCTGTCAGGAGGGATTCAATTTGTTCTCTTTGACTCCTGAGAGCAGAACTAGGAACTTTTTGCAACTTGCAAAAAGAAAAATTTAAACTTGATGTCAGGAAAATCTTCCCAACAATGAGAGCTGTTCAAAAGGCGAGTGGGTGGCCTGGAGAGAGGATGGGGTCCCCTTCCTTGTGAGGATGATGATGATGATGATGACAATGACAGTGATGATGACACTTGAAGGCTGGCCCACCTTTGTCCGCTATCCCACAATGCCTCTCATTCGTTGTCCAGGAGCAAGATGGAAGTGGATGGGGCTGTTTGCTGTGTTCTGAGCTCCCTGCGCAAGCAATGAAAACCAGGGGGCCGAAGAAGAATGTTGGATATTGATAAAGTAGATCCCAGTCATTCCCCAGTCCAAAGCAGGGGATCAGGATGTTTTTCAGGACAAGTAGTAGCTAGATCATAGATAGCAGTGATCACGTCCTCCAAATGTCATTACTGGAGCGAGATGAGCTCTTGGCTAGGAAGCCTCTCTCCAGAGCAATGGGGCTGGGATGTCTTCAGTAAGGCATACTGGCCATTTCCTAGGGAGCCTGCTTTGCCACTGGCAGGCCTGGATGACCTCAGGGATCTGTTCCATTTCCAAGCTTCTAGAATCTCTTTTGGTTGGAAAGGAAATTAAATTACTGAGTCCAACTCCCTTCTTTTAAAAAGAAGGAAACTGAGGCCCATCAAGGGGGAGTGGCTTGCCCATGGCCACAGAATAAATAGCAGAGCTGGGACATGAATATACAGGGAGACCAATTTCAGCTTAATTTTAGGAAACAATCAGAGCTGTTTCCCAGTGGAATGGGATGCTTCATGAGATGGTGTGCTCTCCATCACTTGAGGTACTTGGGTGGAATCTGGCGTGTGCATCTACTGGGAATGGTGCAGAGGCCTTCCTGCTCACGTCTATTGTGGATGAGATGCAAGGTCCCCTCTAACTCTGACTTTCTTGATTTTGTAATTCCATGAAAATCGAAAAGCCCATGTTTGTCTTCTCCCAAAGGAGTCTATGTACAAGCAGTATCCATAAAATGAAGCTGGCTCTTGTCTTAATTTGTCTCCTCAGACAATTCTGCGCATTGTGGTCCTTGGGATCTGGGATTACATCGAAAACAAAATTGAGGTAAGATTATTGCTCTCACCCTTTGTAGCCTGATATTTCCTGGTTCCTGTCCATGGTGGGGGGAAGGTAGGGAGGAGGAAGAGGGAAGAGACATTGGAAAAAGAATTGGAGATATGTCTTCCCTTCTTCATTTGTGGTCCTAGAAGTCGCTCATGCAGGGGTAAAGAACCATGGAATGTCAGAACTAGAGGGGCCTTAGAATGTGGGATTTCAGAGCTGGAAGACCTTTAGAACAGAGAACAGAGAATACCAGAGATGGAGGGCTCTTAGAACAGGAGAGCTGAATTTTGGAAACTAGAACTCCTTAGTACACAAACTGGATGTAATAGAACCTAGTAACAACATCTAGAATATGGGACATCAAATGTTGATCCTGGAAGGTTTATTAGAACACAGAACGTCAGAGCTGAAAGGCCCTTAGAACACAGAACAGAGAATTCCAGAGATGGAGGGCTCTTAGAATGGGCAGTGTAGAATTTTGGAAGCCAGAAGACAACAAGAATACAAAATGAAGAGATGGAAATTACAGAACCTAGAATACAGGAGATCAAACATTGAACCTGCAAGGATCATTAGAACAAAGAACATCAGAGCTAGAAGTCCCTTAGAACACAGAACACCAGAGATGGTAGGATATTAGAACAGACAGTGTAGAATTTTGGAAGCTAGAAGACCTTGAAATAGAAAATAGCATAGCTAGAAATAACAGAACTTAGAATACAGTGTATCAAATGGTGAACCTGGAAGTATTATTAGAACGTGAAAGGTCAGCGATGGAAGGTCATTAGAACAGAGAATGCCAGAGATGGAGTACTCTTAGAATAGGTAGCGTAAAATGTTGGAAGCTTAGAATGCAAAATGGCAGAGCTGGAAGAAACAGAATACAGGACGTTGAATGTTGAACCTAGAACAGTCATTAGAATATAGAACAGTAGAACTGGAAGGAATCTGGAAGTCTAGCATCTTCACCGAGGATATTGAGGCCCAGAGGGGGCTCACAGGCTCAAAGATCTCAAGCTGGATGGGACGTTAGATGCCATGTCCAGCCTCTCATTTTACAGATGGAGAAAGTAAAGCCCAGAGATGTGACTTGCCCAAGGTTTTCTGCTACTACAGGTCCCAATAGTTAGTATGGTAAAACCTTAGACTTGGATAGAAGAACCTCAAAGGTCATCCCATCCAACTCCTACCTGAGCAGGAATCCCCTTTCCAACATCCCTGACAAGTACTCATCCAGTTTCTATTTGAAGACCCTACCATGATGGGCAACTCACTACCTTCATAGGTGGTCCATTGTTGGATACTATTAGAAAAATTTTCCTTGTATTGAACCAAAATCTGCCTCACTGTTACCCACCTACACACACACACACACACACACACACACACACACACACACACACACACACACATCCCTTACACATGATCCTGAATTTTGTGTCATGGACCTGTTGGGTGGTCTGGTGAAGCCTGTGGCTCCCTTCTTCAAATAACATTTTTAAATGCACAAAATAAAATAAAATGCATAGAATTACAAAAGAAACCAAAGGTTCATGAAAATAAAAGTATATTTTTGCCCATCCAAGTTCATTAACCTCCATGAATCTCCTGGTTAATAATCCCTGTTCTGGATGATCACAGAGGCTTCTGACAAGTCTAAATACTAGAATCCCAGGATCCTAAATCCTACTTCTCTTCCCTCCTTTACATGACATCCCTTAAGATATTTGAAGATCGTTACCACATCCCCCCAGTGTCCCCCACTCTCCAGCACCCTCAGGTTCACTTAAATTCACTGATGAACAATTATTCAACTGTTATCATGACTCTAGCTCATCAGAGCCCAGCCTTGGCCAAGTGCCTCAGACAATCCCAACCAATTTCAAGGACTGTCTCAAGCCAAATTTAATTTAGTCTCATGGAAAGATGTACTAAAACATTTGGGAGATGCCAAGGAGAGGACATTTGTCAGGTGAAGGAAAAGACCAAGTTAAGATTTTCCCCCAATACTGGGAATCTTTGCTCCAGCTGGAATAATGGGGTGCTATGGAGGGAGTATGAAAGGTGCCTCACGCCAGAAGATTCCCTGGGGAAACCCCTAGTAAGGCGAGGAGGTAGATATGGGGAAACGATCTGATTGGGAAGCTGATGTCATCAGCACATCCTGCAGGGACTGCAGCAAGCTGGGATATTCAACAGAGTCAGTCAGAGGAAAGAGGATTGTTTTGTATGTTATGGATCTGACCAGCCAGTGGCTTATCCTAATGATAATAATAACAGCAATGCCTTCTGTCTGGCTATTTAAAAAGCACATTCACGTACCTTCTCATCAGATCATTTGTAAGACAGACTAAGTGGAAAGAATACTAGCTGTTGGGACTTTACACATCTCAAGGCTGGAAGTTTGTCTTACTGCATCCTCATGTCCCTAGCATAGAACACATTGCAAGCAATTGACAAATGTTTATTGAATTGAATGGCTGGGAATTGTTACTCCCAGGTTCCCAGGTTAAACTCTGCTCAGTATTCCTTTGGGTAAATGACTTCTTTACCTTTCCTAGACCCCAGAATCTTCATCTATAAAAGCTAATCAGGGTCCAGATCACTGGGATTTGTGGACTTGATTAGGAAAATATTTTCATACTTGTATTTAGTCTAGTTGATTTCCTTTGCAATCCCATGCGTATGTTTTTATAAACATGATTTGGAGGAGGGTTCACAAGACTTCCCCAGACTGCCAGAGGTGCTGTCTATAAACTTCAACAAGGTGAAGTACTCCCTAGGCTAAAGGAGGGGGATAGCGATGTGGTACAGTGGGTAAAGCACTGAATCTGGAGTTAGGAAGACCTGAGTTTAAATCTGGTCTCGGAAACTTCCTAGCTGTGTGACCCTTGGCAAGTCACTTCGCCCTGTTTGCCTCATTTTCCTCATCTATAAAATGAGTTAGAGAAGGAATGGCAAACCACTCCAATATCTCTGCCAAGGAAACCCCAAATGGGGTCATGAAGAGTCAGACATGATTGAAATGACTGAAATAACAAACATAAACTAGAGGAGTTCCAAAGTCCCTTATAGGTCTACACCTGCCTGAGTCTGTGAATGAGTGTAGGCAGGTATTCAAAGAAAGGAAAAAGAGAGCTGAGGTGTCCAGGGAAGGCTGCCTGGCAGAGGTGGTACCTGAGAGAGGCCTTGAAGGTAGGATTTAGAGAGGCCAAGGAAAGGAAGGGGAAGCATAAATTCTGGGCTGGGGGAAATAGTCATAACTTCTTGAAGATGTCTTTTCTAGATATCATAATGGGAATGATTAGCCCTCTTGCTAAACACAGATGGCTGCTGTCCCTTGCTTAAAGCACATACCACCACCACTCCCTGCCCCCAGCTAAGCCCGCCTGACATCTTCCTCCTCCTCCTCCTCTCAGGTGTTTGACGGGGCCGTGATCATCTTATCCTTGGCCCCCATGGTAGCATCCACCGTCGCCAATGGTCCCAGCAGCCCATGGGATGCCATCAGCCTGATCATCACCCTCCGAATATGGAGAGTAAAGAGAATCATTGATGGTAAGCATGATTCAGCCAGTAGAGAAAGTGGTTTGTCTGGGTGCAGGGACCAGCTGAAGACCTGGGCCTATTCCTTAAATGCGTCCTCTGTCAGTCAGGACACCTGTGTGTAGATCACCATGCCCGGTGCTGGGGGAGGCTCAGCATTCAGAGAAGAAGTGCCCCCACCCAGCCTTGGGAACTTGCAGGCTAAGATGGGGAGGAGGAGACATAAATACAGATTGCTGCAGTACATGGTATTATTACACGACAGGCATTTTAGATGTGTGCAAATAAAAGTACAATCTGAAGTCATAGGGAGAAACTGGGAAGACTTCGTGGAGGAAGTGATGTGAGGTGGGTTTGGAAGGGTGGGTAGCAACAAGCATCATAGGATCAAAGACTCAGAACTATAAAGGACCTTAGATCTCTTCTAGTCCACCCCAACTCGATTTAGAGATGAGGAAGATGATGCCTAGGGAGGTTAAATGACTTCCCCAGGGTAATAGAATTAGTAAGTGGCAGAGTCAGGATTTGCACACAGGTCCTCAGACTCTGAATCCAGCTCTCTTTTCATAGCACCATGCCAAAGGAAGCACATTCCAGGCATGGGTAGCAGTGTAAGCAAACAGAGGTGACAGGGAGAGAATAGGAACAGAAAATAGTCCACGGTGACTGGATGGGCGAGAAGGGCACAAGAGGAGGCTAGAGACGTCCAGTGGGGCACGAGAGGCTAAAGGGCTTGAACTCGACAGGAAACCATTGAAGACTGTTGAGCGAGCAAGCAGCTCACACTTACTATGCACCTACTGTGTTTCAGGAAGACAAAAGTAGATAATCATCCCTGTTCTCAGGGAGCTTATGTTCCACTTGGGGAGAATACATTCACATAGATAAGACAGAGAAAGGGTCACCTTGGCAGCAGGGGCAGCCAGGTGGGAGAGGGAGACGTGACCAGATCTATGCTTTGGAAAGGTAATTCTACATAGCGTTTGAAGGACTGAGCCCTGTCCTCATGTGTTTACTAGCTACGTACCCATCACTTAACCTCTCTGTGCCTCAGTTTCTTCACCTGTAAAATGAGGACATTGGACTCCCAGACCTCTAAAGTCCCTTCAAACTCAAAATCTATGTGTCTATGAGCCAGTAACTTAGGGAGTGCACGTTTTATTATCCTCATTTTTCAAACAAGGAAATTGGGTCTCAGAGAGAGGCAGCTACTAGCTTAGTGGATAGAGTGCTGCGCCTGGAGTCAGGAAGACCTGAGTTCCAATCCAGCTTCAGATACCTACTAGTGGTGTGACCCTGGGCAAGTCACTTAACTTCTGTTTGCCTCAGTTTCCTCCATTGTAAAATAGGGACAATAACGGCACCTACCTTGAAGGGTTATTGTGAGAATCAAATGATCTAAAATTTGTAAAGTGCTTAGCCAGTGCCTGACACATAGTAGGTGCCACATAAATGCTCATTCCTGTCCCCATATGCCTACAGCTTGTAAACATGAGACTTAAGGCTGGCGAACAGGCCTCCTGAGACTGGGTCCAGGACTCCGTCAGCTGCTCTCCACAGCCTCCCTGACAGCCCCTGACCTCTCTCAGTCAGACCCTTAGAAAGACAGCTCCTCTGGGGGCCAGGACTTTGTTTCCTCACCTTATATACCTGTTCTGCCCAGATGGACACTTAGACACTAATGGAAGATAAGAGCTCCCACCCCCAAATGCTCTTCCTAGATGTGCCTTTCACTTTTCCATCTGCCATCCCTCCCCCTATTGAAGATTCCTGATAAAAAGATACACTACATGAACCTGCTGTGAATCTGAGCACATATGAAGAGACAGCCTCCCTGTATCCTTCACAGGAGACCCACCTGGTCATGCCAATTAGTGAAGAATAACAGAATCAGAGCTGAGAGGGCGCTTGCCGGCTGTCTTATTGTCCAGAACCGGGGCAAGAATCCCTTCTCTAAAAAAAAATTAAAATAAGTAACAACAGCAATAAATTTAAATAAGTTTAACAATAAATTTAAAAGAATCAATAATAATAATTCAGTAATTTAAAATAATATAATAATCAAGTGTATTGATACTTGTGGTAGTGCCTGAAATTTTACAACCTAATGAGTTAGGTAGCACATGTATTATTATCCCCATTCTGAAGATGTGAAAGCTGAGTTCCATAAAGGTACAATGAGTTTCCCATGGTTACACAGTTAACAACAACTATCATTTACATAGGCTTATAAAGAGGTTTTTACATATTAACATATTTGATCCTCACAACAGCCCTATGAGGTAGATGCTATTGTTATCTCCATTTTACAGGTGAGGAAACTGAGGCACAGAGAGATTTTTTTTTAAGTGACTTGCTCAGAGTCACACAGCTAGTAAGTATCAATGGGAAGATTTGAACCCATGTCTCCTGAGTCTGTATGCAGCCCTGGACGGTGTATAAATTACCAGCGGAAAAGAGGAGTCTGACCATGGCAAACAAGTCAGACAGAGACCAGCTGAAGCTTTGAAACTGACCCAATAGACTTCCCAAGCGTATTGGAGAGCCTCAGGTAAACAGTGCAGTGTTCCTAGATTGGGTCTAAGAAGGTGTGACCATTTTCACTAGCTTGCATCTTCCAGGAGCTTTTGGGTAGCCAACAGCTTTTCCCTCAAAGAAGCAGGAGCACAGGATGTTAATTAAGCTGCTTTACCCTTCGGTGTCTCCGAGTCAGATTTGACCAGAGTTGAGCTCTTGGAAGGCTCCAGCCTGAGCCAGGTCATCATTGCCTTTGTGAATCAGTCATCTCTTTCCTTTCAGCTTATGTCCTGCCGGTGAAGGTGGAGCTAGAGATGGTCATTCAGCAGTACGAGAAAGCCAAGGTCATCCAAGATGAGCAGCTGGAGAGGCTCACGCAGATTTGCCAGGAGCAAGGGGTAATACACCTGGGGTTTTTTACTCTGTCTGGGTTTTTGCTCAACAGCCCTGATTCTACTGAGACTTAGAAGCCTCGAACATTAGGGGCAAAGAAGGAGCCTTAGAAAAAACTGTCAGAACTGGGACCTTAAACATAAAATGTCACAACTGAGAGGGACCTTAGAACGCAGAATGTCACAGCTGGGAGAGATCTTAGAACATAGAATGTCACATCTGAGAGGGACCTTAGAACACAGAATGTCAAAGCTATAAGGGACCTTAGAACTAACAATGTCACCTTAGAACACAAAATGTCATAGCTAGGAGGGATCTTAGAACCAAGAATGTCACCTTAGAACACAAAATGTCACAGCTGGGAAGGATCTCAGAACACAAAATGTCACAGCTGGGAAGGACCTTAGAACATAGAATGTCTCAGCTGGGAGGAATCTTAGAACTTAGAACATCACAGTTGGGAGACATCTGAGAGAGGCATTAAAGAGCTGGCCCTGAAGTCAGGAAGGCCCAGGTTCAAATGTTCTTTAGACACTTAATAACTGTGTGACTCTGGACAAGTCACTTAACCTCTGTTTGCCTGTTTTCTCATGTGCAAAATGAGGGCATTAGACTTAACCCCTACACTTCCTCTCAGCTCTAAAAATCCATGATCTGTGACCCTATGACCTCAGAGATCATTGAAACTCATGTTCTTTCACAGATAAGTAAACAGACCAGAGAGGGCATGGCTTTCCAGAGGTCACTGCCAGACAGTGGCAAACTAAAGCTTGGAAAGTCCATTGTGTAACACCCAGACCAGTCTTCCTTCTATTATGCCAGCCTCTTCATGCAGACTGAGTTCTCTCAGTAGCAGCACGAAGCTCTCCTTATGTATGTGTAAGAGACACCCAGCCTTCTCTAAAACTAAGAATCCACTAACCAGTTAAAAGTCGCCAAGCCCCCAATACTCGCCAGGCACTCAGTGGAGAGCTCAAAGATGGATCCTGCCCATGAAAGTCCTCTAGTCTAGTACGGGACACATGACATGAAGGAGTGGGCTAAGCTCAGTGGTCCTGAGGTCACTTCCTGCTCCAGGTCTCCTTCCATGGGTCTATGAGTGGCATCAGCAGTGAACCCCACAGGAGCTCTGGGAAAGATCCCAGAATGGGCTTCAGTGACGGTGAACAAAGCTTCAGGAAAGGGATGGGACTTGAGCTGGACCTCAAAGTGCACTTTCTAATCGAGCCACTGAGCAGGAAACATTGTGTCAGAGGATGGTGGGGCTGCCCTGGCCAGGTAAGGAAGGCAGAGACCACATCCCCCACCCCATAGTGGGGTGCTTCATAGATGCTCTTGCATTCTTACTTATACCAGGGAAAGTCAGAAGCATCCCTGTCTCTGGACCAGGGGTGAGAGACTGAAGCTGCTTATCTCATACATTCACAGCTACACAGACATAATAATAATATTAATGATGATGATGACGACAATGATGATGGTGGTGGTGGTGGTGGTGGTCATGGTGATGATGATGATGACAATGGTGATGGTGATGATGATGGTGGTGGTGGTCATGGTGATGATGATGATGACAATGGTGATGGTGGTGATGGTGGTGGTGATGGTGGTGATGGTGATGACAGTGATGATGATGACAATGATGATAGTGGTGATGGTGGTGCTGGTGATGGTGGTGATGGTGATGACAGTGATGATGATGACAGTGATGATGGTGGTCATGGTGGTGATCATAGTGATGATGATGATGGTGGTGGTTGTCATGGTGATGATGGTGATGATGATGATGATGTATCTGGAACTTTACAAAGTCTGTGACATACACAATATTTGATCCTCACAGCCATCCAGTGAGGTAGGTGCTACGATTATCCCCATCTTACCGAGGAGGAAAGTGGAGCTCAGAAAATCAGATGACTTGCTCAGGGTCACACACAGAGTATCAGAGGCCTGTTTCAAACTGAGGTCTTCTTGGCTCCACAAGGTGGGCCAGCATGATGTAGGGGGCACATAGATGGATTCAAAGGACCAGTGTTCAAGTCTTGTTTGTTCTACATACTGTGTAACCCTGGGAAAATCATTTAACTTCCCCTATCCCAATATCTTACATTTACTAGGTGCTCAGTAAGAATTCACTGAATGAATGAATCTCTTAGATATTCAAATCAGGTCTTCCAGCTAAAGAGACTGAAAGATCACAGGAAGGACAGGAGACTGTGCAGTCACTGCAAAGAAATCCCCCCCTTAAAACAACCAGGTCAAATCTTTGAAATCATTTCAGAAGACTTTTTGTTTGTTTAAAATAAACTTAAATAACTTATTTTTTAATCGGTGAAAATACACCTTCTCTGCCCCACATACAATTTAAAAAGAAAGAAAAATAAAACCCTGGTAATAAGTATGCCTAGTCAAGCTAAAGCAAACAAAACCAAAAAATGCTTCCCCCGCTGGCCATGCCCAAAACAAAAATATGTCTCCCAATCTGCACCCTGGGTCCATCCCTCTGACAGGAGGTAGATAACATGTGGTCATCATGAGTCCTCTGGAATCATGGTTGGCCATGGTGTCCATTAAAGGGGCAACCATACCTTTTATGGGAGTTACTGCAACCCAGCAGGAGAAGAGTTCAAGTCATGGTGTAGAAAAAAAGAGCAGGTGAGTTTTAGGCATAGAGTCAGAAGACCTGAGTTCAAATCCTTGCATGACCCCAGAAATCACTTCCTCTGTCTGAGCCTCAGTTCTTATGTGTAAAAGGCAGAGATTAGACCAAGACTTCTGACTCCAAAGTCTTCTGAGTCTTAAAGGCCTCGTCTCAGCATCACAGTGGCCTGGGGAGGTGTCCCAGGCTATTGGAGCAGAGCCAGGACGCTCTACGAAGGGGGCTCCCCCCAAGGTCTGGCCCCCCGAGGATGATGAGTGTTGTCAGCCCCAGAGCTCTTAAAGACACCAGGGGGAGCCCCGCACCGATGGAATCGCAGCTCTCTGAAGCGGCCAAGGATGGATGGATGGATGGACACAGTACGTCCCAGCAGCAAACAACGGCTCATAAATTTCCTCTGTCTTGATAGACCTTGAACTGGGGCCAAGCAGATGTCGGTGTGAGCTACCATTCGAGGGAAACGCCCTCGTTTGCTGCTGTGAGCTGGCAAGGAGATGTTGCCACAAGTATTGCGTCTTCCCTCCGTAAATTAACAGCTTCATAATTCTGCAGGGAACAGGTTGTCAGCTTGAATGAAGTCACATTAATGGCACAAATATCTATACAGCCAAGACAGGAGGAAATCATCTCCCACCATGTTCAAAATATCACAGACCCAGATGCCTCCTCCATGGCCCTTGCTCCCAGCCCTCTTTTCTTTTGAAATGGTGTAGGGAAAAGAGCCCTAGACTTGACATCCTGAGCCCTGGGTTCAAATTCTTCCTCTGCTACTTATGGCCATGTGACCTTGAGCAAAGCTCTTCTCCTCTCTGAGGTGAGTTTTCTCACGTGCCAAGCGTCATAGGGTCACAGAGCTAGATGCAGAAGAGACCACAGGGGTTATCTAATCCATATTTTACAAATAAGGAAAGTGAATCCCAATGAGGTAAAGTAACTTGTCCAAAGTCATACAGATAAGTAAGCATCAAAGACGGGACTGGAACTGGGCAGTGATCCCAGAGACTGCTCTCTGTTCCACTAAGGTCCCTTCTGGCTCTGGCATGTAGTAATTCTATGGTTTTCAGTTGTGAGTGCATGTTTCGAGCAGAGGTTAAATTGTACAGCTTCTACTCAGGAAAGAGCCAATAAAGAAAGACAGGTTTTCCCTAAAGAGCAACATCTGGGAAAGCAATGAAAGGTTGCAAACCATCCTGATTTAAAAAACACTCAAAGCCCAGCTCATCTCGGTGGATACAGAAAAGGAGAAAATTGACAAGGATGCTTTTATATTATCCTGCCTTGAAGGGGGAGCTTCAGGAAAAAAAAGGTAGTGGTAGTAGTAACAATAACAATAATGGAGGAGGAGGAGGAGGAGGAGGAGGAGGAAGAAGAAAAAGAAGGGAAGGAAGGAAGGAAGGAAGGAAGGAAGGAAGGAAGGAAGGAAGGAAGGAAGGAAGGAAGGAAGGAAGGAAGGGAGGGAGGGAGAGAGGGAGGGAGGAGGAGGAAGAAGATCAGAATAGATTAAGAACATTGTGACTAGATGTCACCACCCCAAGTTTTCATAGTAGGGAGACACACCTCTTCTCCTTGCCTGCTACAGGAGTTGTCCCAAAGAGGCTCTCAGGGGGTGTAAATAGGATGAGTTTGCATCTTAACAGTTTTGGTCAACTAGGAAAAGGAGTTATTTTATTTACCTGTGCAGTAATCTCTAGATCACTGAGCATAAATGTGACCACTTGTGGGGCACATTATGATATAATGGAGATTGTGTGTGTGTGTGTGCGCGTGTGAACATACTGTGCACATATGTGTGTTTGTGTATGTGTGTGTATATGCATGTGTGTGTGTTTTGCTAAAAGGCCATTGAGGTCTCTTACAGCTTTCAAATTGTTATCCTCTGATGCTCAAGAGAATGTAGAGATTTGTCCCCAAATCATTTTTATCTGAATCACATAGAAAAAGATGAGGAGATAATAATTCTAAAGCCAGCCCCCTCAAAGGGCCATCCGTCAACCCTGCCATCTGGGTTAGGGGACAGAGGACAAGGAAATGCCAGGCAGGGTCATGTGGAGCAGGGGTCCCAGCTGCAGTGTCTGAGAAAGCCAAGTAGGGAACCCTGAAATACTGTGGAATTGTGAGGAGGGGGTGGGGGAGGTAAATACCTCAGTCAGTGCAATACAATTGCTTCTAAGAGTCAACGAAGGAGATGAGGAAGGAGACTGGCTCAAAACCACTCAAAACTGTTGGGATCAAGGCAGCCAGGTGGCACAGTGCTGGATCTGGGGTCAAGAAGACCTGAGTTCAAATTCAACCTCAGACACTTGTGTGAACCTGGGCAAGTCACTTAACCTCTGTGTGCCTCACTTT